CGCCTATCGCAAGGTGAGGGCTTGCCTCCCCCCCCTGCCTGCTCCACCTCCCGCTTTGCTGCCGTCCTTCCCGGGAGGGGGGTGACGGGGAAGCTGCCGCCCTTGGAAACGTAGGGGGTGTGTGGGGTTGGGCAGTTTGGACGCCCCAGGGTAGGATGGTCTGCCACCAGCAGCCTCCTTACTATCTCTTGGTGGGTGATAAGGGGGCTCCCGTGGGAGTCCGGTGCGTGCGGGGAGGTGTCCACCACAGTTTCTGCCTAGAAAACTGTCAGCGCGGCTGTATTGCCAAGCAGATGCCACGGCATCCTGTCCCTCACCGTGACTTCAGACCTGGTCAGTCCCTCCAGGGGATGTGGAAGGAGGGCCGTGTTGGCTCTGTGGGTAGCTGTGGGGTCAGATGCACTCAGCACCTGTAGAGAACCAGGCGCTTCTCTGCGGGTTTTCCCCCGCTTCTGTTCTGTTTAGTCTGTCTAGTTTTCAGCGTTTGCAGAGGAAGTGTAGTCTAGTACTTGAACAAGAGAGTTGTCCTGGTATCGTCCAGACTCTGGATTTTGAAGTTTGGTGCTGTTACCAGAGTGCTGTACTAGCAGCCTGGGGTGAGACATCTGCCTAGGTCACAGTGCCAGGGTTTGCTTTCACATTTTCTGTCCTGTTCCCTGCTCTCATTCCTCCCCCTTTCCAGGCCATTCAGTTAAATGTCGGAAGCTTTTTTTTTTTTTTTTTTTTTCCCCCCTCTTCACGGTCGCCCTGACCTGCAAATTCCCCAGAGACAGGTGGAGAAGGTCAGGGAGGAGCAGGGTAGTGGGGTTTCTGTTGCTGTCAAGGTGTCAGCACTCCGCTCTCGAAACGCGGTGGCTGAGGGATGACGTGAGTTCAGCCGCAGCATCACCCCTGTGCCAGCCCACCTCTCACCCCCCCTGCCATCCTGCCTTCCCTTCCAGGTCTTTCTCCACGAGGCCACCGTGCGCCTGATGGCGGGTGCCAGCCCTACCCGCACCCACCAGCTGCTGGAGCACAGCTTGAGGCGACGCACGCCCCAGAGCAGCAAGCAAGGTCAGCCCTGGGGCCCGGGCAGCGACCCACTGCCCGTGGGACTTGGGGAGGGGCAGCGTTCTGGCAAGGTGGGGGGACATAACTGCAACCTGCGGAGTCTTCCCCCTGTCCGAGGCTCGGGATAACGAGCTCCCGTCAGCCTGTGGCTCACAGCAGCGCTTCTGCCACGCTTTCTACGAGCCAGCTAACGTGAGCTGCCAGCCCTGGGCTGGAGGTGTCAGCGAACGGGCTGGGAAACATTTGCCTTCGTGCAGCCACGCGTGCACAAAACTTGGCAGGCTGGAGTTCGGGGCGGTCAAAGCAGAGGCAGAAAGCCAGGAATCCTAACGGGGGAGAGCCAAGAGATGGTGCTGGTTATAAAATCCTTTAGGTGTTTAAGGTAATGGGAAGATGTGTGTGCTGGTGCTGGGATGAGCCCTAGGAAGTGAAGTGAAAGGGCAATCCTGTCTCTGTAGAAGACAAGATTGCCAGTCCCTGCCTGGTTCCAGCTCAGACCGTTCTCTGCTAGCCTAAAGGAGCTGCTTTTGGGGTCCACGGGGTGCCCCCCCACTCTTGGCACAGCTGGGGGATGCCAGCCAGAGATGCCTGAGCTCACTGGTGCCAGTCGCGGGCCTGCCTGGCAGGGTTTTGTCATGCAGGTGGTGGCTTCGTCCTGAGCTTTCTCTCTCCTCTCTACGCGTAGGTGAACTGGACACCCTGCCGGGCCAGAGGGAGCGAGCCACAGCCATCCTCTTGGCCTGCCGCCATCTCCCCCTCTCCTTCCTCTCCTCCCCGGGCCAGCGAGCGGTCCTGCTGGCCGAGGCCGCCCGCACCCTGGAGAAGGTGGGCGACAAGCGCTCCTGTAATGACTGCCAGCAGATGATCGTCAAGCTGAGCGGGGGCACGGCCATCGCCGCCTCCTAACGCCGGCGTGGGGCCGCCTCGTGCAAAGACAGCCTGCTCGACCGTCAGCCTGGACTTCCCTTCTGGAGCTCAAAAGGAAAAAAAAAAAAAAAGAAAAGAAAAAAAAAAAAAAAGTGCTAGGTTAGGGCTGTGCTGGTGGGATCACGATGGGGTGGGAGAGGGAGGGAGGGTTCTGTGTTTATGTTTTTTTGGTTTGGGGTTTTGGTTGTTTGTTTGTTTGTTTTTTTAACCTTGCCCCAGGTTTAGCTTTATTAGCCCCCTTGCTTGTTCTCAGGCACTGCAACAGGAATCTGTCTAGTTGTGGTTTTTGTGACTATGCCTGCGGCGGTTGGGAAGCGCTGCCCCGACCCAGAGCCTCCATCCCGGCTCGGGGGAGAAGCCCACAAGCCCGGGGCATAGAGAAGTGGCACATCCCATGTCTGTCCTCAGGGGCATCTTGTTCCCTTCCCAAACACCTCTGCAGAAAGAAACCTTTGGGGAAGGCAGAGGATCTGCTCAGGCCTTGCCCCACGGGGCTGCTGGAGTCTGGGGCTGTTCCCGAGAGAGAGAGAGGGAAGGCACCGGTTTTCCCTGAGCTGTGTGTCAGGACACTGAAGCCCCCTAGACCCGACTTAGAGAGGTGCTCTGGGAGTATCGCTTGGGGCCAGTACTGCCCAGCAAATTTCTCTACAGTTTTTATACAGGATTTTTTATAGGAGTGTTTGTGGCTTTACAAAAATGTAGGGAACGATGCAGCAGATATCCTTTCCTCTTTGCTTCATGCGTCTCCTTCCTGTGATAGCTGCCTCTGGTTTTTGGCAGGGAGCTGGGTTTGAGGCAGCCTGCAACAAGCAAAGCCTCACGGAAGGCCGGAGTGTCCCTGATCATCGGGTGCTGGGTGGCAGCAGAGGTGGACGTGCAGCGCCCTGCGCTCAGTGTGAAGGGCAAATGCTTCTCTGGTGCCTTTTTGTTGCCGCAGAAACAATTTTTAGAAACAGTTTTTTATTTTACTCCCGGTCCCAGAACTTGTCTTCAGGTGTTTCTCCTTCCCTTCTCCAACTGCTCAACAGCTCCTGAGCTGCAGGGACTGGGAGGCGCTGGTTGAAGGTGAGAGCCTCCCAGCTCTGTTACCTTTGCTCTTCAGAGCGGTTTGACTTGCAGGTGTTGAATTGCCTGTGACTTTCCAAGAGGGAGAGGCAGATTGGGGACAGGGAGGGAACGGTTTGCCCTCTTTCTGTCTGCCTTTTCCTGTTGCATCTCTCCAAAGAAGTGCAAAACAATTGCCCTCTCACATGTGCAAATGTGGAAACCAGCCTTTGACAGGCGGGCATCGCTTTTTGCACAGGCATGTGCTCAGCGTTGGTAGCTGGAAGCGGTTAGGTACGGGCAGCAGCCCAATCCTATCCTGTCCCAGTCAGGCTCGTACAGCCTGACTTCTACAAAATCAGAACTCGAGCTGTTTTGCAAGAAGCTTCTGCGTGTATCCAGCTTCTGCAGAGGGGGGCATGGGAGCTTGAGCTCCTAACGAAATGAGGGGAAAAAAATGGGGGCTTGCTCTCTCAGTTTGCATGGGGTGTTTTGGCATCTGGGAGAGTGTGTTTTCAATCAGAGTGAGGGATAATCAGGTGGCAGACACTTCTGCTTTGAGCTGGTATCCTAAGTGTGCAGAAGAGTTTTGGGGTTTAGGTGGGTTTTGATTGCCCATCCTAAGTTTCCTAGCTTATCGGTGATCCTGTTTTGGGGGGTGGATCACATCTTCCTACTTTTTCTCCTCTTCAGTGGCTCTTGCACTGTGTTCCTGGTCATGGTTTTTTCCTAAAATACAGAAACCCCTTACCTGGGGCAACCTCAGAGTTACTTCACATTTCCCCCGATCTGTGTCCAACACGTGGGAAGTTTTGTGCTTTAGTAAAAGAGGAAGCGAGACTTTTGGAAAACAGATGCTGGGGCTTCACATTTTCACTAGCGGTGGACCAAGTCCTGGGGGGATGAGCTGCAGGGAATACTGGCTGGGCCGGGGGTGGGAGGCTGCTGGGCTGAAAGCCTGGTAGCTGATGGCACAATCCACAGAGGGTCCTAGCACTGCTGGTACTTCTCTCCGCTTCAAGCCAAGAGGTCCCTGCCCTGTTTTTTCTATACTGTTCATAAATTTGCTGCCCATCTGTCCCTACAACTTTTTTATATGTGTGTATATATATACTGTAACTTTTTTTTTTTGTTTCCGAGTGGGAGGAAATTGTTTTACGGATTATGTGAAGAAAGTCTATTTATCCACATGGAGTTCAGAGTAGGGATGCTTTGTGAAATGAGGTGCAACTGGTGGTGGGGAGGTTCCGCAGGGAACATATCTGCTGTCTGAAAACCCTGTTCCAGGGCTCCTGAGCATCTGTTACTTAATAAAGGCAAACGTTACCACCACCTCCTGCCTGCCCTCTTTCTCTTGGCCCTCTTCATCCCACCCAGCAGCTGCTCTTAGGCACAGCTGAGCCTGAAATGTCCTTCAGCGACATCCAACCCCAGAAGCGCCGTGGGAAGCTGTCAGTCCTTTGTCTAGATAACCTGGAAAATGGAGCTGTACAGCTCGCGACAGAAGATGGTCCCTCGGTGGAGCAAGTGTGGTGCCTCTGTGCTCCTTTGGAAGCAACCCGAGAGGCTGAGGGCTTGAGCAGAGCCAAGCCAGGCAGAGCTGGGCCAGAAGCCTGCAATTTTAGGAGCATCTAGAGGGGAGGGGGGGAAAGCTTTTACCTGACCTTGTTTGGAACAATGTCCTTTTCGCTCTATCTCTTCATTTCTCTGCTTCCCCCCTGGTAAAACTCTGTCAGAACCATTAAACTTCAGACAGAAGAGATCTGCTTGGTTTTCGTATAGCTGCTTGAAGCGTTTTGCAGTTGACCCGGGAAGCCGTGTTCCCACGACATCCCCCGTTTTGTGGGGGTGGGCGCGTTCCTGTGGCAGGGGGTTTTTGCACCCTGCTGGCTGTGGGGAATGAGCTGGGGTTTTGGGAGCAGCACAGGGTCCCCCAGCTAATCCATACCAAGGCAATACAGTTTAATGTATTATTTATTGACAAGGTGGAGGCTGGGGCGGGGGGGGGAAGGTAGGCTGGGGAGGGAAAGAGGCTGTTTGGGCTGTGCCGGCAGCACCAGGATGGTGCTTTGAGTCCATTGCTCTTCCCCCCCCACCCGGTCACGGGGGCTAGGCGGGGGTGCCTGGCCCCAGCAGGATGTGTCCCCCCCAGCCCTGGGGGCTGCGGTTGTCCAGCATCGGTCCCCATCCCCTGAGCTGCACCCTGGTCTGCCAATGTGCCCCCGGCTCGGCCTCTTCCTGGGGCAGGCTGAGAACGGCTGAAACTTGTTGCCCGGATGAGAGGGGCAGCCTGGCCCCTGGTGCCTCCTCGCTGGTGGAAGCGCAGCTGGCAGCCCCCGTCCCTGGGAGAGGAAGGGCGGCGCGTCCCCCGCCGTGGCCAGCCCTCCTGGTTTAGGTAGGACCGACGATGCTCTCCTCTGGCGGGCCACCCCGGGGGGGGAGGCTGTCAGCGACGCTCAGGCGAAGGGGGGGGGGCAGCCCCGGACCCCCCGTCCCCGATGGCAGCGGCCGTCAGACGGTGACCTCGGTCTTGCTGTTGGTGGCGAGGTGCCGGGGGGGCTGGCCGTACAGCGGGGTGGCGGGGCCAAAGGCCTCGGGCGGCCCCTCGGGGCGCAGGGCGGGGCGGCGGGGGCCACGGGGGGGTCCCCCCTCCCAGCCCCCCGGGAAGGCCGGGCCCCCCAGCAGCTTGGGGCCCTTGGCCTTGGCCCCGGGTGGGGGGCAGCCCTCGGGCAGCGCCGGGGTCTCGGCGGGCGGGAAGGGCAGGGTGCCAGCGGGGGCTGCCTCCGGCCCCCCAAACCGCCGGTAGAAGTCCTCAGGGGTGTTCTCTGTGGGGACAGGGGTGCGGTGTCACCCCCCCCCAGGGACAATCCCTCTGCTGGGGGTGGGGGGGCTTGGGGGGGTGGGAGAGATCCTGGGTGCTGATTGAATGGGGGGGGGGTTGGATCTCAGATGGGGCGTGCTATAGGGTTTTGGGAGATCCTGGGTACTGTTTGCCTGGGCAATGCAGTGGATCCATGGGGAATCCTGAGCGCTGATTGGCTGGGGAGTGCAGCGGATCCATGGGGGACCCTGGGCGCTGATTGGCTGGGGAGTGCAGCGGATCCATGGGGGATCCTGAGCACTGATTGACTGGGGAGTGCAGCGGATCCATGGGGAATCATGAAAGCTGATTGGCAGCGGATCCATGGGGGATCCCGGGCACTGATTGGCTGGGGAGTGCAATGGATCCATGGGGGACCCTGGGTGCTGATTGGCTGGGGAGTGCAGTGGATCCATGGGGAATCATGAAAGCTGATTGGCATGGGAGTGCAGTGGATCCATGGGGGACCGTGGGCGCTGATTGGCTGGGGAGTGCAGTGGATCCATGGGGAATCATGAAAGCTGATTGGCAGCGGATCCATGGGGGATCCCGGGCACTGATTGGCTGGGGAGTGCAATGGATCCATGGGGGACCCTGGGTGCTGATTGGCTGGGGAGTGCAGCGGATCCATGGGGGATCCTGGGCGCTGATTGGCTGGGGAGTGCAGTGGATCCATGGGGAATCATGAAAGCTGATTGGCAGCGGATCCATGGGGGATCCCGGGCACTGATTGGCTGGGGAGTGCAATGGATCCATGGGGGACCCTGGGTGCTGATTGGCTGGGGAGTGCAGCGGATCCATGGGGGATCCTGGGCGCTGATTGGCTGGGGAGTGCAGTGGATCCATGGGGAATCATGAAAGCTGATTGGCAGCGGATCCATGGGGGATCCCGGGCACTGATTGGCTGGGGAGTGCAATGGATCCATGGGGGACCCTGGGTGCTGATTGGCATGGGAGTGCAGTGGATCCATGGGGGACCCTGGGCGCTGATTGGCTGGGGAGGGCAGTGGATCCATGGGGGATCCTGGGCGCTGATTGGCTGGGGAGTGCAGTGGATCCATGGGGGACCGTGGGCGCTGATTGGCTGGGGAGTGCAGTGGATCCATGGGGATTCCTGAGAGCTGATTGGCTGGGGAGTGCAGTGGATCCATGGGGATTCCTGAGAGCTGATTGGCTGGGGAGTGCAGTGGATCCATAGGGGACCCTGGGCGCTGATTGGCTGGGGAGGGCAGTGGGGGAGCTGCAGAGCCCCTGCCCCGAGGAGCAGCCGCCCTGGGGGGACTGGGTTGCTTGTCCTGCCTGTGCCTCTCTGCGAGCCCCCTGTCCCTCCCCACCCATCTGTGGGGCCCACGGGGCACATTCCTCCCCCTCAGCCGCCATCCCGGCCCACGCGGCAGCGGCACTCACCTCCAGCCTTGAGGGTGGCGTAGGCAGCGTAGGCGGGGGGCGGCAAGGCCAGGCTGGTGGCCAGCGGCAGGCGCTTGCCGTGGCCGTGGGGCCGCCCCAGCGGGGGGGCAATGGCCACCGCGTTGTTCAAGGGCGGCTTGTCTGGGGGAGCAGAGGCAGGTGGGCAGGGGGCTCAGCTGCGGGCAGCACCTTCCCGCTGCCTTCACTCACCCAAGGGAGCTTAATTTTCCCCCACCGCACCAGCGTCTTACCTGTGCCGGTCCTGGGGGGCCCCCGGGCCAGCCCTTCGCCCAGCGGGACCTGCACGCCCCCCACGAGGCCATCCACATGCTCAGAGGGGCCGTGGCCTGGCTGCTTCAGCAGGTCTGTCAGCGTCCTGGGGAGGGGGTGAAGGGCTGTTAGGGCAATACCCCAGTCCCCCTGTTCCTGTCTATGCACCCCAGCCCCGAACCCCCCCCATCTCTGGAGGCTGAGCAGGGCAGCCTGGGGCTAGGAGGTGGCAGCCGGGAGCAAGGAGTGCACTCGGGCTCCCGACTAAGCTTTTGCACAAGGGCTGGAGAGCACACACCCCACACCCCCTCCCCAGCAGTGAACTGGGGTCTGGCTGGGGCTGACCCCTCCTGGAGCTGGGAGCATCGGCAGGCGAGGGCAGCAAGGGTACAATGAACTGAGGCAGAGGAACCCAAACTGATGGCAGCTGGAGCGACACCATGGGGATACTCCCCTAGAGCAAGAGCCAGGCAGAGGGAGGGCAGAGGAAGCAACACCTCCACTCCAGTCCCTTCAAAGCAGAGACCTTCAAACCCTTCCAAAAAAGACCCCAAGGAAGGGATTAGAGAGGCCACTTGCGCCTCTTTGGAGAGGAAGATGAACTAGCGGCAGCCTCCGGCACATGCACTGTCCCTTCCTAACACCCTCCTTATAAGTAACAGCATTAAACATTAAACACCATTACGTAAGATAAAGCCCTATTTTGCTTAACGTTAATGGAGGGAGATGCTGCAGTCCCACCCCGGCACACTGGCAGTGCAGGAGCGGGGCACAGCAGTGGTGCTGGTGCAGGGCACGCCAGAGATGTCGGAGCGGGACATGCCCACTCGGCATTGCAGCCTTTGGCAGCAAGTCCTGGGACAGGACGGGACGCTTCTGCTGGCACGGGACTTTGTGAGGAGGAGACCTGCCATTCCTCCTGCAGAGACTGGCCCGGTGTGACTGCAAGGGCTCAGGGATGTCCGCTCGGGACTTTTTTTTGGCGCCCTAACCCCTGGCTCACTGTTCAGCTCGCCTCACACCATGAAGGTTCTGGCTGGCTCATAGATGTACGCTGGGAGCTGCAGCAGGAGCTCGCGGTTAGCAAGTGGCTGGACGATAAAACAGCAGATTAAACTCAACATGGATAAATGCAAATTGGGGAGGAAGTGGGATATAATCCTGTCTCACTGGATGTATGAGCTCATGGCTCTGGAGCGCTCAAAAGCCCAGCGAACCCAGTGTGGGGAGCTGCCAGGGAAGGCAGTGAGGAACAACGGGGAAAGCGACGCGTTACGCCTGGGGGTGCAGATGCTCAGGCAGCCCCGAGGGCTGTTCCCAGAACATTCTCCCTCCCAGTTGGAATCCAGTCAACATCACAGGGTGACTGGCAAGAACAAAGTTACAAAGGAGTGTCGCTTGCCCTTTTGGTTCAATTCACATCATTCTTGGGGAGCTTTGCGTAACAAACCCCAAGGGATCACTTAATCACCAAATGGGCCAACAGACCCTCACGGAGCTGAACAAATTGAAACGCGAGAGGAACAACCCCTGGCACCAGTATATACTGTGGGCTGACCAACTCGAAGGCAGCTTGTCCGAAAAGGGCCTAGGGGTCCTGGTGGACACTAAGTTAACCACAGGCCTGCAATGTGCCCTTGGGGAAAGGGTGACAAATGGTCTTTTAGGCTGCATTAGGGAAAGGGTTGCCAGCAGGTCTGAGGGAGGTGATCCTTCCTCTCTGCTCAGCACTGGTGAGGCCACACCTGGGGTGCTGGCTCCAGCTCTGGGCTCCCCAGTACAGCAGAGACGTGGGCATACTGGAGAGGATCCAGCAAAGGGCCACAAAGACGATGAAGGGACTGGAGCATCTCTCTTGTAAGGAGGGGATGGGAGAGCTGGGACTATTCAGCCTGGAAAAGAGAAGACTCGGGGGGATCTTATCAATGTATGTGAATATCTGAAGGGAGGGTGCAACAAGGACAGCTCCAGGTTGACAAGAGGTGGCGGGTGCAAACCGAAACACAGGAAATTCTGTTTAAACAGAAGAAACAACCTTTTTTCCCACGAGGGTGGTCAAATGCTGGACCAGGCTGCCTGAGGAGGCTGTGGCACCTCCATCCTGCAGCTATTCAAACGCCTGCACCTCCCCAGGAGCCCTCCTGCAGCCGACAGACCCCAGCTCTGGGCCCAGCCAGGCTCCTTTGGCCACGGGTGCTGCACCCAGAGAAGCTCTGGGCACAAGCCTGGGTGGGCAGCGGGCTGTGTCCAGGCAGGGCAGGTCTCCCAAGGCCATGGGCATGGGCTGTCGAGCCAGGGAGCTGCTGTCCCCATCAGCTGCCACCTTCCCTGGGGTGCACGGCTCACCGGCCCCCTCCACACTGGTCACTGCCTGCTCTTGCCTGTCCCTGAGGCCCAGCTCTCAAACAGGCTTGTTTCACCAGGAAGTTCAATGCGATTTGACCTATTTTTTTTTGATTTTTTTTTTTTTTTTTCCTCAGGTCTATTTATGAAGCTTGAGCAATCCTTTAGCTGTGGCTGCCTCTCCAGATAAATCCATCAGTGCTCTTTCTCATAAGCCTGCCCTCCCAGCAGACCGGCCAAGGTGTGTGGATGACACCAATTAACATTAATGGCACGAGCAGCTCTTAACAAGCTATTTTGCTAAGGTGAGAAGCATGCATGAGACCTCAGCACCAGCAACACCTGAACTCACTCCCCCTACCTTGCACTATGAGCCATGGGCCCCCAGGGGCTGTACCCCCCCCCCCCCCCCCCCCCCGTCCCCAGACAGTGCAGGGGAGGTGGACCTGGAGGCTGTCACAGTGCTGAGAGGTTGCTGTCTCACCATCTGTGTTTTTGGGGGGGTTTTATGGACCCCAGACTGTTCCCATGGCTGGGGTGCTTGGGGAAAGTCAGGCCACATCTCCCCAGGTCACCTGGTGGTCTATGGCACCAAGACAGCTCCAGGATGCAGACGGAGGTAGGGAACACAGGGCAGGTACAGCTTTAAACCTGTGCTGCTTGTCTGCAAAGAAACACCAACGAGGGGCACCGCAGAGGCCTTCAACCACCGCCGTGGCCACGGAGGCTGAGTGCATCAGGCCATGTGTGAAGGTCACTCGCCACCCAGCTCGCCTGAGCACAGCCTCGCCTGCATGGGTGTGCAACCAAGGTCCCCCAAACCAGCTTGGCGCGAGCCCCGAAACCGAGCGAAGGGGCAGATTCAGGAGCAGTGACGACGGAGGCCGGGGCAGCTCCATGGCAGGGGCTGGCACGCAGCACTCGGGGCTCCCGAGCCATCCCTGGGGGAGCCACCAGCGCATGAAATGGAGGTGCCCATGTGGGAGCGGGACCCAGTTCCTGGCAGAGCACCCCGGTCCAGGGACGGGCATGCTTTCGGAAGGCCCAAGCCCCACACCCGGCAAGCCTGACAGGAGAGTGGCTGCAAGTCCTGGGCAAGGGAGCGATGGGAGGAGCAGGAACGCGCAGCCTCCAGAGCAGAGGAGAGCTGATGAAGCGACAGGTGAAGTAACATTGCCCCGAGCTGGGGTGAACCCTTGGAGGGAAAGCAGAAGGTGGCAGGCGCTGGCCAAGGCGGGCGGTGAGGTTTGGAGCAGAGGCATGGTGGTGGAGGAGACACACGGCGCACCACGGCTGCGGGTGGGCTCGCACCCCGGCCGGCCGTGCCACCCCGGTGCCCAGTGAGAGTGTCACCTTCCCCTCCTGGTGGGAGGGGAGGCATTTCCCATGGCTTACGGCGCAGCGGGGGACACGCAGGGATGGTCAGGAAGGCTTGGTGGGTAGCAAGGTGCCTTTGCAAAACTGGAGTGGCAGCAGGGGGTAATGGAGCTTGGGCAAAGCATTGGACAGTGGGAGTGAGCCCCCCTGGCTGGACATTGTGTTCAACTTGGGGACAGGGGTCCGGGTCTCTCTCCCTGCCGGAGCTGAGTCCCCTCTCTCATCCCCCAAGAGTCGGGGCAACATGTGATGACTCTCCATGCTGCCTGCAAACACATTTTCTAGGTCTTCACTACCACCTGCTCCCGTGAGCATTGACCACAGGCATGGCTGCAGACTGGAGCGCGATTGCCAGAGAAACACCCCAGCGCAGTCAGGTGCTGGGTTTTGGGACCCCCAAATAGCACAAGGAGACCCAGAGAGTGAAAAGCCAGCATCGGTGTCTCAGCTACTGCGGCTGCCAGGGCATCTGCTCCCACCAGCTGTTTTGCCCCTCAGCAGCAGCCCCCACTGCCCCCCAGGAGGCTGCTCCTCACTCAACTCTTCCCATAGGGACATTCACTCCGGCCACAACCTGCAATCTCCCCCCGGGAGGTTTTGGGGAGAGGTCCAGGGTGCGTGCCTGCTTTCATGCGATGGGCACAGCCAGATCCCGGCGGCCCCCGAGGACCCGACGTCCCCGGAGATCCGGGGCCTGGAGAAAAACACGGGCAGGTGTTCCTGACTCAACGCGGGGTTTGGCCAGGCTGAGCGAGTGCCGGGGACGGGTGCCAAGCGTGAGCCGAGCAGGAAGGAGAGGGGTTTGCGGGAGCCGCCAGAAGGCCCTGCGGGAGGAAAGCGGATGGGGAGGGGGCCACACATCAGGTAGCTGCAGCCGCTCGGGCACCCGCTCCCCTGGGTGGACCAGCAGCCAAAGCTGGACGGAGAAGCCGTGTTGGAGGTGGTCAAGGCGTGGGGGTCTCAGGATGAGCTAGACAAGGGCTCAGATGTCTCCATCTGGGAGGAGCTAGTGGGGTTTCTGCACCCGGTCGCTATTCCCGGGCTCAGAACAGGACTAGGACCTGGACGAACAACATCTGGAGATGCAGAAGTGGTTGACCTTCCCCCCCCTCCTCTCCTCCTCCCCAAATTGGAAGCCTGCAAGCAGCGGTGGTGGGAGCTGTCCCAGGGCAGCAGGCAGCGCTCCCCAGAAGCGGAAAAACCCCGGCAGAAGGGAGGGATGGGAATGGAAACCAAGCCGGCCGTGCAACAGGGAGCTGGCCCGAGGCCACGATGCGGTGTCCGAGGAGCAAATGAGAAGCTCTTACCTGAGGCGCCGGGAGGGAGGCGAGGTGGCACTGCCCAAGCCTTGGGCCGCGCGTGGGTATGGGGGGGCGAGGCGACTAGAAATAACCCCGCTCCCTCGGAGGTGCCGAGACGGAACGTATCGCCTGGGCCAACCAGACGCACAGCGGGATGGAGGTGACAGTGTCCCTTTTTGGATGCCTGTGCCACGCACCCAGCCCCTGGCGCTGTCTCCATGAGCTCAGCACCCAGGAGGCTGTTCCGGCTTGGTGCCTTGCCTGGTGCCCAGGGCTCTGTACCCGACGTACTGCTCCTGCCCCGCTGTGGCTTGCCAGCCACTGTCACCCTGGACCCGGAGCCGCTCGTGGCTGACACAGAAGGACACGGGGCACGGGAGATGGCAAGACCACTCCTGACTCTGCAGTGATGGAGGTGCCCTTCTGATTTTGTCCCACAAAGGCAGGCAAGGAAAACTCGCCTTCTCCTGGTCTGTATGCCAGTGCCCAAAAGATCTGTGGCTTTGGGGAGAAAAGGCACCGATCTCCCTGAACTCATCGGGAAAGTTTGGGCTTGCATGAGCGGACAGGAGGGAGGATGTGGGGAAACTCATGGCTCTGGCGGCACAGAATTGAGGCTACCCGCAGAAAACAGCCCCCAGTGAGTGGCAGCAGTGCCAACAGCGGCTGGTGATGGGAGAAGGCAAGACCTGCTGGCAGGGGATGAGGACCCAGGTCCAGGTGTCCTGGGGGCCGACCCCTCCCCACACACAGTATCTCCTTCCCTGGAGGTGGGGGGGGGGGGGGGGGGGGGGAGACCAAAAAAAGACGTGGCGGCGGGCGAGTGGAAGGGGAGTCGGGAGGCAGGGAGGCTGGCGGAGGCTGTATTGATCCTGTCAAGGTGCCAGCGCTTCCTCAGACGATGCGGGGGGGAGGCGCGGGCTCGCAGCAGCACCCAGCCAGGCTCCCTGCCAAGGGGGGGGCCGTAGCATGGGTTCCCCCCCCCCAACTGCCTTGCGTGGCTCAGGAGGGTCCTGCGCCCCCCACCCACGCCCAGATATGACCCTCCTCCAAGCAGGGGGGTCAGCCTCTGCTCCCCTGAGTGGGTGCAAGGAGTGGGGTTGCGTCTGTGGTGCAGCGGGTCTGGAATTGGGGTGCAGCACCCAGTGGCTGCCCAAACCCTGGGTGGGTGGGGGGAGTTGGGCACCCCAGGGGAAGGAGAGAGGGTGTCTGTTCTGGGGCGTGCAATCAGGGTGGCTCCCTGATGGTCCCAGTGAAATAATAATTTCCTCCAGCCTTGCTTTTTTTTTTTTTTAAAGCTAAAATCTCTGGGCAAAAGAGCATAAAAATGTGTTTATCGCCAGGCTCGATGTCCTCACTGGGAAGACGTGAAGTATAACCTGCACCCAGCCGCTGCTCAGCGAGGTGCTGGATTCAGCTCAGCCCCCTTTCTCTGCTCCTGCAGCCCTCTCTGGGTCCCCTTCTCCATCCCTCCCCCTTCAATTTGGGGCGCCCCATGGCACGACCACGGCACAACCACCTCGGTGAACCTGCCCCAGCTCCGCTCCTTTGTGCATGTGTGTGTGTGTGTGTGTGCGCGCACGCGTGTGTGTGCACACGCATGTGCATGGCATGTGCATCGGGGAGGGGAGGCTGAGGAGGGACAGCTCTGAGTCAGAGCCGCAGGGGCAGAGCTGCGCTGGGAAGGCTGGAGCTGCCGGCAGCCGCTCCGAAGTGTTAAACTCATTGAATGTGATCGGTTAAAAAAAAAAAAAAAAATTAAAAAAAATAAAATAAAAAAAGGAGGGAGGGAAAAATCCTACCTAAGCGGGGGAGCTGTACAACGTGACACTGAGGGGAAAATGAGGCAGTGGAGCCATGGCTGGGACCACCAGCCTGGCCCTCCCTTGCCTGGCCTTGACTACGTGCCCTGCCACGCCCTGCCACGCCCTGCCCCTCCCCACCCCAGGCCAGGGGGGTCACCTGCCCCTCCTGCCGTCCCCCTGTCGCCGCTGCCCGCAGGGGCTGAGGCCGGACCTCTCATAGCACCTCAGTGCTGGGAGCGGGGTGGAGGCCGTGTGGCAAAGGGCCGGGGGGTGGGTGTCAAAATGGGGCAAGAAACGTGTTTCTGAAGCCCGGACTGGTGCAGGAGGGAGAGGGGAAGATTCACCAACGGCCACGGGAGCCAGGTGGGAGCTGGGGGAAGGTGCAGGGGGTCCCCAACACCGAAGTGTGCCCGACGCCCCGAGCTTCACCCCCGCCAGCTCCGCACCCAGCCCTGGGAGTTGGCTGAAAAGCCACAGGCTGGAGGGGGGCCGGGGGGGAGGTTGCCCAACTTTCTGCTGGAGGCTGAGCCCCAGGGGGGGTGTGCAGCCTGGTTCCCTGCAACTCCCCCCCCCCAGAAAAAAAGGGCAATATCCCACCCTGGTGCACAGAGGCAGGGGGCCACGCACACCCATGCACACACACACACACACACACACACACACACACACACGCACCCCGAGGAGGCGCAGCAACCACGGCGGAGATGTCTTTGCTGTCTCCTCTCCCTCCTCCCGGCACTGCTGGCACGGCTTGAGCCCAAGGGGACTGCGGTCCCCAGTCACCTCACGCACAGTCAGACCCAGGCTTGCCTCCCCCCGCACATTGGGAACCACGGTTTTCGTCTGGGGGTGTGGGGGGGGGCGGCACGGAAAGCCACGTCCTATAGCTCACATTTCACCCATCCCACTGGCCGGTGGGGATGGCTCTCCTGAGCCAAGGACAGGCCTCCTCAAGGGATGGAACAGGTCATTTTGAGAGGGGATGGGTGTACAGTCACCCTGTCTCGTGGAGGCTGTCCTGGCTGGCAGCCTTCCCTGCCGGGACAGGTTGGGGGGCCGCAGCAAACCCACTCCCCCTTGGTGTCTCAGCATGCCAGGACGAGGGGTTTTTGGGGACCCTCTTACCCTCTTGGCAGCCCCAGGGTGAAGCCAGGTCTCACCCTATGTGAGGGGCTGGGAACGTGGGCTCCCACTCACGGGGGGGATCGAGCGGGGAGGGTGGGGGGACTGGACCCCTTTACCTGGAGACGGTCATCTCCGTCTGGGGTCCCTGTGCCTTCTCCAGGCCCAGCTTGGTGAAGATGCCCACCAGCACCATGATGGCCACCACGCCGCAGATGATGTAGACGATCATGTTGGTCTTGTCGCGAGTGGGATCCTCGGGGGTCTCGTCCACCCGGGCGGGCGGCTGGCCCGTGTTGACCCAATTGGGGGTGTCGTAGTTGGAGCAGCCGCTCTGGTCCAGCCGCCCGGGTTTGAACTGGCAGCAGAAGCGGTACCCGCAGGTCCCGCAGCAGTACTGGTAGATGCCGGCGTTGCAGTTAAACGGCGGGTCCCACTGCCCCATCACGTCGTAGTAACCGCGGCAGCGGTCCCCCCCCGGGGGTGCCGCCCCGGTGGGCGCGGGGGCCGCCGTCGCCGCCGCTGCCGGTGCCTGGCTGCCGTTCCCGTTCTCGCCGGGCCCCCCGGTGCTGGGCTCGCCGCTCCACACCCGGCCCGGCTCCAGCAGCACCAGGCAGCAGATACCCACGACGTAGCTCGGCTCCATCCGCCCGCGGCTCCGGGGGGCCATCCGGGCGAGGGGGGGCGAGTTAGAGCCGCTCGCCCGGGACCGGCCGCATGGCCGGCGAGTAGCCCCCGGCGGAGGAGAAAACGGGCTGGGGGTGGGGTGATGGGGGTAAGACAAAAAAAGGGGAGGGAAACAAAAAAAAAAAAAAAAAAAAGAAGTAGGGGGAAAACAAAGTGCGAGGGGACGTACCCCCCCTCCCCGCCTCTCCCCAGATCGGCCGACGGGGGGGAAATTCAGAGCGGGAGGCGCGGCGGGCGGCGGGGCAGAGCCGCTGCCTCCCGCCGGCCGGGGAGGGGACGCGGCGGCGGGCGGCGGGAGCGGGCGGGCGGGCGGGGGGCCGGCGGCCGCCCCATCCCCGCGGCTCTGCCCGCGCCCCCCGGCACCGCGCTCCGCGGGGTGGAGAGGGGAGGAAAGCAAAGGGGAAAGCAGCGAAAGCCCTTCGCACCGGGGCGGGAGGAGCGGGAGGAGGAGGAGAAGGAGGAGGAGGAGGAGGAGGAGGAGGAGGAGGGCGGGGGGAGGGTGGGGGGGGAGGGAGCCGGCGCGGCCAGCGAGGAGCGGGGGGCTCAGCTCCCCCGCCGCCTGCCAGCCTCCCGAGGAAACCGGAGAAGGTCCTTCACCGAGTCCTCTGCCAGGCTCCCCGCCGCCACCGGGCGGCAGGACGCCCGCCCTCCCCGTCGGGCTGCCGCCGCGGGCGGCCGGGCACGCGTGGCACCCACCCCACGCTGCCCGCCTGCCCCCTAAGCAACCCCCTCTCCACCCCCGCAGCGAGACCCCCCCACCCTCCCTCCCGAGCGGGAGCTGCAGGGCGGCAGGCTGGCACTTTGGGGTGCAGGATGGGTGTGTGCTGGGGGGGGGGGGTGACACAGCCCCCCCCGGGGAGGTGGGGTGCCGTCCCGCTGCCCCACAGCTGGGAGCCACACGGGAAAGCAGGGAGAGCAGCAGCCCCGGGCCTGTGTGAGCATCAGAGCATCCCCCAAGGGGAGCTGTGCACAGGGGGGCTGCAGGATGGGTGAAGTGGGGGGCTACCGGGGCACCCCCCAGAAACGCATCCTCTCCCAGAGCCACAGTGATTTTTAACAAGCCACTGACCAACCCCTTGTCTGGGGTTCCAAGTCGGGACCTCTTTGGGCGATGCACGCCCACTGCTCTGCTGTCTGGCTGGTGTTGCCCAGAAAGACGGTATGAATCCTCTCCCCAGATGGGCAGGATTTGCTTTCTCTGCTCTGGGACTGATGTGGCATGAGGAGGGTCGGGGAAACTGAGGCATCATCGAGCCCCTTGCCCAGCACTGCGAGGAGCAGCGACGTGGGGGCTGTGGCTGCAGCCTCATCCTCCCTGGCCAGTCCTGCACCCTGCCCCAGGGAAGGGCAGCAAATCCAGAACCACCACTGTCTCCTTGGGCAAATCATTCCCTCCGTGCTCCAAGAGAGAGAGGCTTGATACTGCTTCGTCCTGCCTTGCCCTGTTGGCACCTTATCCCAGGGGATGGGGCTGCTTCTGGGCTGCACGGTGCCGACACGGGAGACCCCAGCCCCCAGGCAAGTGGCGATACAAAAAGACATTGCAACGATGGAGGTGGGATTGGACAGGTCAGGAAGGCTCAGCTCCCTCCGACAGGTGCCTCCTTCATGCCAATGCTGAAGGCTCATGGACAAGCCTGCACCCAGGACCCATCCCTTACCTGCCCCACCATGGGTGGTAGGCTGAGGGTCTCACACCGACATGGAGCTCCTGCAGAGACATCCACCCTGGCTCGGGGCTTGGGCAGCCTCCGGCGGGCACTCAGGGCCAGAGCTGGCCATCGCGAGCTGCTCGGGTGGGAGAGTGCCGTGCCATGTGCCGCACAGCGGGATGAAATGCACCGTCATCGTCCTCCCTGCGCACCACAGCGATGCGACGTTTCGGGCCAGAGCTTGGCACAAACAACTGCACCCCCATCCAGGGTGAAATGTTGCCGTGTTTTGCTGCGGGAGGGATTTAGGGGGGATAAAATCTCCTCTCCCTGGTCACCAAGCCTGGGCCCTGCAGGCCACCGGCTGCTTCCCACCTGGGGGCTGGCAAAAGCCAAAGATGTTGAAAACATGGATAAGGAGAGCAGCTGGAACCCGGGACATGTCCGATTGGCCCCCAGTGCCGCAACCTAATAGAGATCCATTAGGTAAGGTAGCTTGTAGCCTCCAGAGCTTCCCGAAAGAGATGAAAAGCCAGTGAGGCGGAAGAAAACTGTGCGTTTCCAAAAGCCACGCTTTCCCCGAATCTCAGAGGGGCTCTGATGAAAGGCCCCATCGACTGGAAGTTGCAGACATGGGGTCGTTAGCGCTAATAGCCAACAGCAGCATTGGCCTTGAGAGGAGCTGCGCAAGCAAAGTTTGCTGGCTGCCCAGGTAATGCCAGCAATCATTTCCCAGGCACTGGGCGATCGCTCCCGACATGCGTGTGAGCAGAACTGCCCCGGGGGCCCGGAGGCGTTAGCAGGCTGCTAGCAGACAGAGCGGAAAAACTGGCCAAAATCGGGGAGTTTGCTGGAAAATGGTTGCCTGGTGTGACCTGGGAGAAAGGGAACGGTTTTAAGGGGGAGAGGGTGTTCACTGAGTGTGAAGCAGTCGATTTAAAGGGTCTCTGGGAGCAAGAGGGAGGGAAGGAGGGAGAGCTGCTTGCAGATGTTAGCTGAGTGCATCAACCCAGAAGGAAAACAAACCCAAGGGCATGGCGTGGAGGACCAAGTGCGCAGGGCAAGACCCCCAGGGGCTGGCTCCATGCAGTGCTGGCACCAGGGGCTGCAGCCCGCAGCCCCCCGAGCCATCAGCTCGTCTTTGTCAAATAAGCGACCCGGCCACTAGCTGCATCCTAAAAGGGAGGGGGCTGCGGGAGGGAGAGCACCCACACCTCTCACATTCCTGGGAATCAGTGGCAGGACCCTTAGGAAAATTCAGATCGGCGGGGACCTCCGGATAAAAAGCAAAGGACGTGCTCGCAACACCCATGGGCACTTCGGGGGATGTGGATTTGGGAGGGGAGCTCCAGGAGACTTTGGCCACGAGCCTTGGAGGATGTCACGGAAATATCCCCTGCAGTGTCAACGCCACCCAGGCTACATAAGGGTGTCTCTGCACCTGCAGAAATAGGATATGGGCGGTTCAACACCAAGCAGGGAGGGATACGCTGAGCGCTGACATTATAAACAGATTGGTTCTGGCAGGGTGTGGTGATCTGGAGAAGATCCTCTCTGTTGCGGCCAGAGAGCTGGACAGACCCAGATCCCTGCTGGTAGTGAGGGTGCAAGCCAAGCAGAGCTGTGAGGCTCCTGCCCGAGGAGGAGGAGAAGGAAAGGGAGGAGGAGGGAGCCATCACCATCACCAATGTGAAGCAGAGCCATGGGAGTCTCCCGGAGTGCAGGAGGCTTTGGGGTACAATCAGCTTCTGGGGAAGGCCAGTGGTGGGTGGTCAGAGCCACAGAGCCACCTAGGAAGCCCTCCTAGAGTCAGGGAATCAGAGAGATTTGCCCCAAAAAGTGATTTTTACCATGGAAGACTAAGCTGTCCCCCGGGCTAAGGGGTGAATGGAGGAAAGGATTCTGCTGTGGGGTGGATGCCCCATGCTGAAGGGCTGTGCTGGGGCAAGAGAGCGCCCCTGCACCTCCTGCCATCTCCAGAGACACCCTGGAGAAACCTGCTCCCTTCTCAAACTTTGGCTACCGAATCTGGTGCTGTTCCATCCAAGGGCAGAGCCGGGGAATAGGCTGTCCTTGCATTTGTTTTCACTATGGGGGAAATTTCTTTGGCCATCAGCATCCCACTGGGAAGCCCTGAGTTTTCATGGACCTGCTGTCTAGGACTGGGATAAGGGGTCCCTGGGGTCAGGTGCTGGGCTTAACATGCAGTAAAATGCTGCTCCCTTCCATGTGTTCTCATGGGCTCAACAGATGAGGGAACCCAAAGATCTTGGGCTTCTGGTGTCAGTGATGGAAAGCTAAAGCAGGGGAAAGTTAAATGTACTGGGGGCAGGCACAGGGACACGGTGGCAGACCCCAGCGTGGCCCACAGCCACCCTATTTCCAGCGCAGTATTCACAAGGGTTTTATTCCCTCGCCTGTGCTTGATGCTCTGGCTGTAAAATGGCTGTAAAAGAGCAACTGTGCCTCACAACGGCTCATAGAGAACACAGAAGCATATGTGCCTTTACCATTATGATCATAATTGCAAACATTCAAAAGTCGAGATTTGCAAGCTCCCAGCTTCCCAGAGGTGGCTGGATTCAAACCCAAATGACATCCAGAGGAATCAAAAGAAAATCAGCTCAAAGCAAAGGCATTTTTTTCACTTACACTGCGGTATGGGCAAGCAAGATCCGGGCTGGGAGCCCAAGCTCCCCCAGCTGCTGCTGTTAGAGGGCAGCCATGCCCCCAGGTACAGCCGCAGAGGCCCCCGAGCATTGGCTGTGACCCCCAGGAGCCCCGTGGGACTGGCTGGTTATGGGCTTTGCATTTAGGATTAATCCCAGAGATGGTGGTGGTGGCGGGGGCCGCACTGGTAAATGCTCCCCCTGTGCAGGCACTCGGTAGCCAGCAGCTTGCTGGCCCCAGCGGCTTTGCTGGCACAGTCTGGAGATCATGTTGTGGATGGTTGCAGGGTCTTCACAGCCCCCCCCCCTTACACTCTTCTGAGCTTCTGCGTGGCTGGCAGGACACTGGATCCAAAACTATTCTCTCACTGACGCCTGTGAGTGGAGCAGGAACAGCCCAGCCCAAACCACCCGCCCATGCTGGGCTTGTGGGGCCAGTCTCTGCCACTATGCTGGGGGGGAACCCAAGCATCCTCTGCTTTCCTGTTTAAAGCAAGTTTCCACCACCTTTTTCGAGCATTACAAGGCCATATAAGCACACCTGGAAGTGGTGGTGCACAGCCCAGCTTATCCGGCAGCACCGCAGCATCCCTGGCTGCGCTCCCCTGCCCCACTCCCTCCTCCCCTGGCTGCTCTCCCCCCTGACCGCCCCTCGTGCAAGGTGCTGATTCAACCTGCAATCATTTAGGGCAAAACACACCCAAATGGAGAAGGGGTGAGAGCAGCCATCCCTATGCAGGGCACCCCCGGAGCCACGGGAGACTGGTGTGTGGGTCCGCTGCAGCGGGGCCAGCCCTTGGCTGCTTTTGCCAACTGTGGAGCAACAAAAACCAGGCTGTGGCAGCAAAAGGGACCCAACGCTTTCCCACCGCGCTTTAAGACCCGAGGCGATGGCAGCAGGGCAAGCCGTTGGCGTTTGCTGGGCGGTGGGATTTGGGGCCCCTGTTCTGGCGGCTGGGGCAGGG